ATCGTGCGATAGCGTCATCAGCGTTTGACCAGGGGCATGATGACGAAGCTTGACCAGCTGCTATTTTTAAGTATATTACGCAGATTTGGCCTACCGGGCAATTGACTTCCAAAAGAGGCTGGTAAATAGAAGCAAAACACCCTACGTGGCCGACTTGCTCCTGATTCACCCCTAAGCCGAATATAGTTCCTCTAAAACGACCTTAATCGGCACGAAAATTTTGACAGGGATGTGATTTAGAAAACAGGCGCCGAAATAAGTTTAGTTTATCTATTACGATCTTTGTATCAGCTCAGAGTTTAACAGTTATGAGAAAACGACAATGATATATATCGGAGTTTCTTTATCTAAGCATTGCATCGTCTCGAGAAAGGTGAGCTTCGGAAGCTTTTCGACAGAAATATTTTTGTGTAAAATAAAAATTGTTAGGGGACAAAATTAATATCACTTTGTTAAATTCATTAATATTTTAATAGTTATAAATTCAAATACTAATAGTGGTCAATTAATATTTTAATAGACAACTTTATTAAAATTATAAACTTTAAATCCAAATAATTATGTGACGAAATAGGGAAACCTCACATAAGTAAATGAATTGCACTATTAATGTCAGCCATAGAGTGCTGACTTTTATTCAGATACATCAGTGGAAAGAGGATACTTTTACTCTAAATAACGGAATTTTTGACAAGCAAACTACCCGAAACACGTTTTTCCAGCAAAGCGTGGCAAGGAGAGGGAGGCAAAAAACCTCAGCGCGCGAACAAACCTATACAAGCCGTCGCAAGCCCCTGAACGCGCTGTCGACTTTGTCAACTTGGCTTTAGATGAAAGCAGTAGCTTGAGAATGTGATGAATATTAAGAAATATACTTGATCGATACATACAATTCGTACATATTGAGACGAAGAATCAGACTCACCCGTTGGCAATATTTCAAATACAGCAAATTGATGCAAGTTCGCGCCAATTTAAAGTTATAGATTGTGTGAGCATGAGAAATCGTATTTTGGATAAATCGGAATCGGCTCTTTCGAAAAATATATTTATCGCGGTAAATGTTCCTAGCGTTCCTTCATACAGGATAGTATTTATCACGGGAATTTGGGCAAGTGCTCAGTTGCTTCACTTTAGTTTAAAAGTAAGCGAATGCCCTGCAACTGACTCATTTTTGCTAATATGCAAGAAACGCTGCATTTTCGAAAAATTTTCTTTAAATTAATTCGAAAATCCAAGCACTCGAAACGATGTCATGGATCTTTTGCGATCTCGAATGACCCGCGACCAAATAACTTCTTTCTATGTCGGACGAATTACGGTTGCAAATTACTTCGCGTATTACGCAGTTTGGGCAAACGGTTCTCGGGGGCTTACTACTGTAGAGATTTGTCTGCAATGTGCCATCATAGATTTTTTATTTGGGTTCACCATATCATTATAGAACCCGTTCAATAAAAAGATATGATAAATATTCGTGAAACTATCTTTGCTTTCAAATTTCTTGATAGTTGACGTTATTGTTACTAAAAATAATGTAAATGCCCCAACCAGATTCAGATTCGGGTCTCACACTCGGTTCATTATCAGGCCAAGTTATTAGGTTTTGAAGGAAAATATCTGCATTTTAAGAAGCTTTACAAATTATATCTACCGATACAATTTTTTCTGTATTTTTCCTATTATTTTGTTGATAAAATATCCGTGCGATATAAAACTAATTTTATACACTATCGAGAAAAATGTTATAATGAAAAACTGGAAATCATAAAAAATCAGACCATCGACTTTGCTCTTGTGTGCGATAAATCTACACGCCCGACATCATGAATCCTCTCACAACTGTCGTTCTCCAAGCGCTGTAGAATCCGACGAAAAGTTTATTTACTCATCTACTATGATCATGTTTGGCTTTAATTTTATGATGTTTTGTCAATAATTTAACATGTGAATTTTCAGTTAAACCTTCGGCAGTCGGATTTTACACATGAATTCAGAACTCTCTTACATGGGTCAAACCCAGTAGAGAGTTAACTGAGAACGGTAGTTCAGAATGCTCCGACTTCGACTCGGTTTCTCTGATATTATGATTTAAACATAAATGTATTTGAGTATTCCGTGGAAGTGATCTATGAACAGTTTAAAATCAACTCATTCATGTTAAGTAATGAATATATTCGACAGCGTCATCTTGTGTGCATGAGGGTAGGTATATCCAATCTTCTTGGATAATCAAATAATATAAGACGGTGGTTGGTAGTAATTAGCACAAGAAATATTAAGTATCAAATTCCATTGATTCGAAACATCATCACAAACTTCAATAGTTAAACCATTTAATAACAGTGTATATTCTCTAGCATAACGAAAAACACAAATAAGATGAAATTTTTTAGATCGATATCAGAAGTGGAGCACTTCACTTCTTATAATATTCACGGCGTATAATATTTATCGAGGTGATTCAGATAAAAATTCTCTTGGCAGAAGATTAATTTCCAAGGTAATTTTGAGGCCAAGTTAAATAACGAAGGCATTGGTAGCTGTCGAAGTAATCTGGAAGACAGCATATCACACAGACTTCTGATAAGTTGCTCCTCTTTTTAAAAGAACGACACTCAACATATCAAGCATTTTATCCGATAAACATAAATTATTGTATCCTGATATCTAATGCGCTCCACCTTTCAGAAATTAGAGGTCATTTAGCCGAAGCGCATTCACCGCGTTATTGATTATGATAGATACTCTGCATACTAGGTATAATTAATAATTTTCTTATTGTTTTCCTCTGTTCGGCAAGATGAGCTTTTGATAGGACTTGAAAATTCAAATATAAGGATTCCCATGGACATTTTATTATAAGTTACGACGTTTCAAATGTTACTCCATTCATTATCAAGTATAAGGGGTAGAGTTTGCAACTTTTGAATTTATAATTCAAGTGTTGCATGTGAACTCATGCTTGATAGTGAGAGCCTCAGCTATTACATGTCTTGTGGTGTCTGGGCACTTCATGGCGATGCTGGTATAGATGCCAACGTCGCGCGGGTGAGGGTTTCTTCCATGGGGTTCTTCGGTCCTCCGGTATATAAGTGGTATCTTAGGCGGCGGCTCAAAGTCGTGCTGTATAATTGTAATTTACGTTCTGGAGAAGTCTAAAACATTAATTATTGGGACATAAGTTGAATAAGTTGTGTCTTTTCTCGAGTTTCTTCTTCAATTAGAAGTACCCTCTGGTCGTCAGTGAGACCTGCATTAGAGTACTATGTATAATTGTATATGATTGTCTCGCTGCAAATCAATTGAAACTGTGACTTGAATGCCCCAACCGTGAGGGGCTCCAGTGAAACAACTGCGGTAGTCAAGGCACTATTTTTTAGGTGCAGTGCAACGTAATCAAAATTTTATTGAATGAAGCCGGAGTACTTAACCACGAAAATTCTGAATTTCTTCGTGTCGATTTCCGCTAATCCGGATCCAGTTTCCCAAATGACGACGTCTCTTAAACCGTTGTACTGAATCCCGTCATAATTAATGAATCCCCTTCATATCGAAAAAAATATCGTCATTCCGAATCCAGAATTAATTTCGAAACAAGGAAGAAAAAACCTCCCGTCCTTATCATAAAGAAAGACTTATAAAAAAGACAGATCTCCCATTCAACTACCAATTCGAAATGCAAAGTACATAAAGTGAATAGTTTTATTTACACATCTATAAATAAAAATCAAATGAAATTGTTATAATTTTTATTTATAATTGCGAATATTTTATTATTGTAATTGGTGAATAGTACTTCCTATCCTGTATTGTCTATTATCTCATCAACGAAATGTAGTTTAAGTGTTAAAGGCAAAAACGCGGTTTAAAAGTGATTTTAACATGAGAAATAAAATTTGTATTCGATATTGATTTACTAAAATCAAAATTGAATGTTAGCAACCCCAAAATTCAATACTATTCTGCACTGCAGAACTTAGAGATATAGGTCAAATCATTTACATGGTATGATTTGAACCTTTCAATCTCAATTCTTTGAGCGGAACGTGCATGCCGTGATTAACTAGCGATATGAGCCAATGCGTGTCGAATGGTGATTCAAAACTGAACTTCTGCGGCTAGTGATAAAACCACTCTAATATACCATGACAAGCACGTAGAGTTGTTCTTCACTTGAGTCACTATCAGCTTACTATAAAACTTCATGAGGGCAAGTTTATGAAAAAAATATGAACGTGTTCATAAAAATATGGACATGTTCATAAGTTCATAAAAAGATGAACATGTTCATAAAAAATATGAACATGTTCATAAAAAATATGGACATGTTAAAAAATATGAATATGTTTATAAAAAATATAAATGCGCTCATAAAAATATGAACATGTTCATAAAAAATAACATGTTCATAAAACATATGGACATGTCCATAAAAATATGAACACGTTCATAAAATATACGAACGCATTCATTAAAAAATATGAACATGTTCATAAAAAATATGAACAGGTACATAAAAATATTATCATGTTCGTAAAAATAAACGTGTACATAAAAATATAAACACGTTCATAAAAAATATGAACATGTTCGTAAAAAATGGACATGTACATGAAAAATATAAACATGTTCATAAAAATAAGGAAATGTGAAAAAATATGAATATGTTCATAAAAAGTATAAACATGTTCATAAAATATGAACGTTAGGTTAGGTTAGCACGGTAAAATCCCCAAAATGTGAATTCTACCGTGTACCACAGTGTACGATACAATCGTTTAGCGCCAAGTTGGGTACTGAATTCGTAACATACACTTTAACTCGGAATAATCAAATATATATAATATAATAAGATCAATTAATGACAAAATCTCGAATAAACAAAAATATTAATAATTTACTTTAATAAAAAAATAAGAATCCAAATTCAATGCAATAGGGCCTGAAGATTATTTCGACGTACTTATCTATTCAAACCTCCCCTCCTCGCAGGCAGGTGGCACAAAACACCATTACTTTGTAAGCCGAATAGGAATTTTGAACAGAAAACAAAATGTATTAACAACTTATATAAGAAAAATATATCAATAAAACATAGCAACAACATATATCAAAAAGATATTCCACCATTGACGATCAATTATTTTTTTTAGGTATAGAGTTGAGTTGTTTTGTGAATAATTCTTTTTAAACGTTAATGAATGCCAAAAAAATATACCATCATTGAATAGCAAGTAATTTGACAAGTTACTTCTATGGCAGATGGTTTTGTTATAACATTCAGGAAATATTTCTTAATGAATCAAGTTCAATGTGGGAACAAACCAAGTTAATAATTCACTTGATTAACACACAATACTTGCCTTTGGATCGATTGCTCCTAATAGTCTAAACTACTAATAACGATTCTAAAACATAATGGTTTGTTAGTGCAATAATAATTATAAATTAGAAGTTATAAATTCCGTAGTCAAGTGCCAAAGTGCAGGTTTAGTTAACTTGTATAATACTAATTTACAATTTTTCACAATTCAGCTACCATTCATTATTCGTTGAAGAAAGTTGGTGTAACTTAAGAACAGCAATATTTTAAGGCTATGCACAATAAGAGAATAATTGAAACTACCTTGGAGTGCACGGAATCGATAAAAAATAAAAACAATTTGAATTGAATAGTATCGGATAAGGTAATGCCTTGAAATCAATTTATGAGTGATCATTCGTATGCAGCTAGTCGGTTGATCCACCGTGCAGCGATTCCCTTTTACTAGTACGTAGATCAGTTAACCGGCTAACTGATATTTACTTAAAAAACAGCTATACAAAATTTGTTATAAATTTGTCCATCAGTTTGGAAAATTCAATGAAAATATTCAATATTAATAATATGATTAATTCAGTATACATCGGTATGATGAATTGCATACTGAATAAACCGTAGCTAACAAGTTCGATGATGCCTGATGCAATCAGTGACGATCACGCTTAACGTTTGCGTCGTCGCATTGATTCAGTAAGTTCTGCAGTAGTTCTTCACAATGCGACATCTGATGTTTAGAAATGCTCTGTTTATTCGTGTTTTTGTCACCATGGCAACTACTTATGGCATGAAGTGAATGAAGATATCATTGAACAAGGTATGTGCGATGAAATTTACATTAACGGTTTTGAATATCGGTTGTGCTGTTTTTTATTATTCGATTTCAATTGGGACTTGCAAATAAATCAGTACAACTTTCACTTTGAAAATCAAGGAATCATTGTCATTTGTGAAATTGATAACTTTAATCTATCTAACACAGTATGAAATTGCTAAAGTGATACGGGACCAAAGCTTGACGACCTGTTAAATGCTTTCGAACCTCACAGCAACTATCATAGGGGGTCTGCCGCTTCACTTGAAATTTTTCTGTTTATTACGTCAACATTCAAACTGCAATGGTTACTTGGAGCTCACTTATTAGATAAGTACTCAGAAGAGCTACACTTATATAATACACACAGGCTGCAACACTTTGTAATTAAATTCAGTGTTGGTCAACCTTTGTTCTTGGAACGAGCTTGAGGTCAGAGGTCAGATTGGCTAACTTCGGAAATTTTTTGACCTTCCGTAAACTTTATGGTGTTTCAAGTACTGACTGCTTTCGGTGGTTAGCAACCAGTGGTTTAGAGATTTCCAAGCTGGGAGCCTGAGCCAGTTGCATCTCAGCGATCGTTAGAAGAGGTTGCAGGTTCGGCGTCTACCAGTCACTGTGCTGAACTTGACTGCGAGGTCAAAAATCAACATTAAACAGGCAGTCAGTGTCTCTCGAATGCCAAGGTAAAAAGTTAATTCGAAGTAAGTTTTTCCGATATATCACGATTACATTTATCGTCGTTAACATTATGAGAGGTAAACGACCGTCCAGTCTCAGCTTCCCAATGATGGATGCTCGTGATGGACTTATTCTCTTCGCTTGTACTCACAGTTATTTTTTAATTTTCTTTACAACCCTTGCAATTACGGAGAGGTTTGTGAATTTTTAACTCCCAATATCACGAACGTTCACGGCCTCTTAATCCCAATCACGCATACGTTTCGGGCACATTTACACTCAATTTCGAAGACTTATTTCAACGCACAACTACGAGAAGGTTCATTATATTTAGACCCAAATTACGCAGACGTTCTTGCCATCTTAGAAGCAAATTTAGTTGACGATTTGATATTTTGAGACCCATTACATCGAATTTTTTTTAGTTTGACACAATATATTAATTTCAAATTATACAATTCTGACTATTTCATTTAGTTTGCATCAGCATGTTTTTTGCAATTAGCTTCACTTATTCAATTAGAAGCTGATTCGTTTTGACTGGTGAAATTGAAAGATTTTTTCAAGCCCCTGCATGAAAGACTCCACTGATGCACTTTTTTTAACTAGAGCAAAATTATGTTCCAATCAAATATAAATGTGCATAGGGATAATGTACATTAAAATTTAAATTGTTTTCCTGAAACCCTACCCATCTTCTGATGTCAGGTCGAAGGAAGCATGAGTTTAAATTTAGCCGAAGATTTGTTTGCAACAAAATTGTACTGAAATATGTGCTGAATGCATGGAAAATGTATTATTATGACTGAAAAGAGCGTGAAATGAATGTAAAATGTTTGGAGGAAGGCACAATTAATGTACAAGTACGAATAACAAAATTCTATTACAATGATTTTTGTGTTACCAATTCATATCATTATCAACTCATTGTGTTTCAGATGCGGATTTCCATCCTGTACTTCTACCTCTTCGCTGGTGAGTTTCTAGGAGCTTACTTTTATCCAAAATATCAGCCAGAAAAAGGGTCAATTATTTATGCTAATTTGATTGATTTCTTCTCGTTTTATAAAGAAAACGCAGAGGCGGAGCAATAATCGAACAAAACTTGTAGCCGAGGCTATCTATTAAACATAAGTGCATAAAGTAAATGTTAAAAAATTTTATTCAGTTTTATACACCAATGAAATATTAAAATTTACTAATTTCAAAATTTCAACATCAGTGAAACCTGTAAAGTTTTTGCAGGAAATTGATGGATGATTTGTCATCTCTGCATTAAATTGATAAGTGAAGCAGAAGCTCATACAATATATGTTCAATTTCTGTTCGATAGGGCAATTTTAATAATACTTCTCAAATGTATAATACTTGTAAATTTTTCGATGAACCAAGTAGATCGCAATGTGAATTGATATGCTATATGTTTCAAATAGGCTGTGTTCGTGAATGATTATGGTTTGTGGCAGTTAATATAAACAAGCCTTTATCATGAGCTCAAATATTGAAAGCAAATGCTGCATACTTCTTTAGAGTGCTAGACCTGCCGATTATAATCAATGAATATCAATAAACGTTCGGGCTATGATTGGGAAGTAGTAGAAAATCAAGTTAAATAGTGATTATGAGTCGTAATTTCGTTAAATCTCTCTGTTAATCATATTTATTGAGAACTGAAAATAGATCAATCAATGGACACGTTTGGTCAGTCGTGTGTAAGATTATAGTAAGTACCAACTCCCCTGTCTATGATTAAGTGTGAATGAAGAGCGGTGTGCTCATGTGTATTTCGATCGTAAAATTATAGTTGTTACTTGGAAAACAGGCTCGAAAATAAAAAAGGGAAAATTTATTTTCAAAATTTGAATTTACCGAATAGAATTTTTGAATCTGGAATAGCAGGTTTCATTTCTGAAGTTTTCATGATTTTCGGTGAATCTAGAAAGCTCTGTATTTCTTTGTATTGGATATATGACGGCTGATTGGGCCGCAGTGCGTCACTCATGGCAGTCTCAGGCAGATAATAACTTACACTCGCACCTGTTCATTACTGTAACATGCAGGCCTACAACGGGAGTCAAGACGACAACAAATGCAGAAGTACGAGCAATTTTTTACAGAAAAATTAGCTTGAAATGAAGTTCTAAGCATTTTATAGAAGTACAAATGCCAGGGGCAATTTTTCAGGGGATATTAAAATTGAAGTTAACGCGGGAAAAGTCTTTCAAAAATATCTATGGAATGGTCGGTCATACTTTGAATGTGGGAATTAATTTTGCAAAAAATCAAACAAATCTACAAACACCAATGAACAAACACAAACCTGTTTATTCTGTTAAAAACAACGTTGGGTTAGCATTATGAGTAAAAGTAATTTATTTCACCTCACTAACTAATGCTAGATAAAACTTCTCGTTGTGACAATTTTCGGCGCGATTTGTACACTTGTAATTCATTTCGCTGGATCATAGGTCACGCAGAACTGTGAGCGAGTATTCAAAGATGTTATATATAACATATAATAATAAAATATAATATTAGCGACTTTTGTAAGTCTATCTAATTTTAACTCTTAGCTTTGGCAATGAAGCAATGCAGGATCAATGTGACCGTAATTTCAGTGATGATGTAAACCTAATGGCGATTGGAACATGGAAGATGATTATTGTTACACGATGTCATAAATTAAAAATTCAAAATTAATCTTTAGGTTAATAAGGATCACAATCTAAGTAATAATCGTGCCTGCTACAATTATTGTCTATTCATTAGCGATTGACACTTCTAGAAAGCTCCAAAAAATAAGCTTGAAGTGATGTTTCAATTATTTTTTAGTTTATCTATAAATAGGGGATTCAATAATATCTATAAATCTATCGCTAAAATATTTATATTATATTATAAAACATTATATTACAAGTATTTTATTATATTAAAATATCTGTCCTAGGTAACCTTGCCATGGGTCAACTAGCTATATCAGAAAATAACACAAATTGTCCAGTCTTTATAATAATATTATCCTAGAGCTCGAGGATTTAGGAACTAAAATCAGCCCCTCCTTCTTCAGCAGGAGCAGTGAGCGTCACCGGCGCGTCATGGGACATCCTACAGAAAATCCAAAATTATTTTACGGGCGTGCGAGAGCAGCTGTGAGTGCACTGAGACCTTTGTTTTAAATATAGGAACTGTGAATGAAATTTTTTCAGATGCTTTGTTCACGTTCATTCATACTTTTCTAATTTTTTCAACATTTCTCTTTAACTTCGCTTCTTGTTGTTTGTTTGTCTGTCCACTACAAATATTATAATCGATATTTAACACACATCTACCCGTCCAATCGATCTGAAATTTTGCACGCTTGTGTAAATTCGGAGACAATACTTGAAGCAATTGACATAGTAAATAATTAAAAACATATATTATTAAAGAAAATTTTAGGGAACAATTTGCTTTTAATTATTTTAAAATAAAATAAGAAATTCATTCTACATGTGTAATACCGAAGACACTATAGCCCCATTAAATGTGTTGTCTTTAAAGAGTAATTTTTAAAATCATATTATTATGCATTATCTCATTTCTATATTGAAGTGAAATTTTCCTGTTAAATCAGCAGTTTTCTGGTTGAGACATAAAAAAACATTAGTTGCAGCAGTTAAAAAACTATATTTACGTGCACTTGAACATCGTGCACGTCAAGGTTGGGGCTTGCCTTATCTGCCGGCAGCCACGAGATCAATCGTAGCCATGAAAACAAGGCGTGAAGTTTACCCGTTGTCGGGCACCTTAATTGATCGCTTACTCCCTGGAATTGCGCGTTCAATATTTCATATATGGCATATATTATGAATATAATGTCATATTTTTGAATATTTTATAGGATAGGAATATTGATATATCCTGCATAGAACCGTTGAATGCTAGTAAATAAATTATTTACTATAGAAAATATAATGGGAATACAAATATAGATTGAATGTATCGAAAAAAATCAAAACTTACTTGAGAAAAATGCTAGAAAGTTGGTGGCTGGTCTGCTGCTATACCGCTATAGCCTCCCAGTAAGTCTACTAAATTAACCTTTACATTCCTTATCTGTTTAATTAAGCTGGTCGTGCATAAGTTTGCATCGCAATTTCAAACTCTTCGAAAGGTTTACATCGACAATCTTAAACTCAGCCATAGACATCCGTGCTATAAAATTTCAGTATTCTGAACGCCTAGCCTAAGCCTTAGTACACGTGACTCGTGAGCTATTGTATATTGACCGGCTCAGCTTCAGCTCGCTGCCACTTGAGCAGTCGAAAAGTGAGGCAATAAGATAAACACATGACACTTCGTGGAATGTTTTATTGGGCTCACCGGCAAAAAAGTGTAACTCTTGGGTTTTAATTAAGACTCAATCGTTTTGTTTTAATTAATATTTAAATTATATTAACAATTAACATTTGAATTTTCGCATATCGTATATGACTATATATTGCATCTAAATAATTACAAAATTAGCTAGACAATCCCCATGGTCGCAGGATATCTCGTCTCGTGGTCGCTGACGAGTTCGCCGCCTTCAACGCCTCCTTCAAGAGCCTGCTGGCGCGCGGCAATCTGAGCGCCTTGTCCGAGGACGACGCGGCGCTTCTGCCCGTAGAACTGTGGCGCATGTACGGGGTGAGCGCGGGGTAACGGTGGGGCATGTACTGGGTGAGCGCGGGGTAACGGTGGGGCATGTACTGGGTGAGCGCGGGGTAAAGTGAGGCGTGAAAGCGGTGTGAAGGTGAGGCATGTGTACGGAGTGGGCGAGGGTGAGGCGTGAGTACAGGGTGAACACGTGGTTAGAGTTAGGGATGAGTTCTCGTTGAGCTAACAACGGCCATATTTCTTACCATAACAGCCAGACACGTAAAATCCATGTTATCATCAAGAAACTGTAATTGAAATGTTGTAGCGGGCCAGCCTTGGCAGCGCTATTAGTTTTCTCCAGTCGCCGCACCTCTCTAACAGAGATTGACGAGAAAAAGTATGCGTAGGTAGTTTTCGCGGGAAGCAGCTGATTGCTAGTAGTCAGCCTACCTTTGCCTGACCTACCGTTTTTTGTACTGTCTGTAAATATCTGTATATAATATCTCTAATATGTCTGTAACCGTAAATCTATATACACATAGTTTGTAGACCTATGCGGGTTCTTCGTGAAATTTAAATATACCTTATGGCATTTTGAAAGTTTGCTGGTCCATTTTGATTCATCCTCGTACGATAGGGCCCGCTTGCAGAGACCCAGTAACTCTGTGTATGGAGCGTAGTACTCCCGCTACAATGTGTCCCACTGGCTTTATTTTCTTATGATTTCTGAAAATCCAAAGATACAAAATGTTGACATCGTTATTTTTTAATAAAAAATTGTGAATTATTGACTTATTTTGACAAGTATTCCTCACAGGCAGGGTCTCTACTCACGCTGAGGAATGACACGCGGGACTTGGTGACGCCGTATCTGTCGCAGCGCGTCCTGAACGAGATGGACCTCCTGCAGAGAGTCAATGTCACCCAGACCCAGGCCATCGACAGGCTCAAGACTTTGCTCAGAAACACAAGCGTGAGTAATTTTCTAATGTGAACTAAAATTACAAGTTCATGAGAAATGGATTTACGTCGAGCTTTGATGTATTCGATTAGGATTTTTTACAATCATACTCAGGAGATGTGTTATGTATAACTATAGACATAACTAGTATAGTTTGGTAGAAGTTGTTCCTTTATACATGTTTGATTGAAGACTAGCGAATGGAATATATTGACAATTTTCTCGTTCGCTTTCTCAATTAGTCGGACGATATTTTTCGCTATCGTGGACAGATAAGAAACAAGTTTCCATAAGGCATAATAGTATTTCAACGACGTTTCAAATTAACATTATTCATTACCAAGTAAGGTAAAGGTTTTGCAGCGCTTAAAATTTCGTGATTTTTAAATGACTGGAAATTTTCGAGTTGTATGCAGTACACCCAATGTTGCGTAAGTAATTTCTAAATTCAAAATTTTTCCAAACCTTCACCTTAATTGCTAAAAAATATTCTATATTCAAGAAGCAGTTAATATGTTAATTAAAATGTCTTCTGAAAACCTTCTTGATCTGCCCACTATTTACATAATTATATCCTTTGTGATCATTGCTAAAGTTTTGCTACTAAACTCCAATAATTATTATGAAATAAACCGAGATTTATTACCTGAATAAGGCCCAAATCGAAATTTTCGAATACTTTTCACCGAAAATAAATTTTAATTTGAAATTTATTCAATATCAAACCACTTCCACTCCTTGTTTGATATTTAAATTTATTCAACATCAAAAAACAAGTGAAATAGTTATTAACACAATAATCAGCGAGCCGTATTTATAGACACAAGCTACAGTACTAATATCGTTTCCCAATGTAGGCCTCACGAATGGAAGTGGCATTGCTTCTGGATAAGCTGGGGGATTCTTGGGAATGGAAGGAAGCGAATATCACCAACCTGAAGCCCATCCTCTTCTACCTGCCCATCGCCATGCTCACCAACCTGCGTGACTCGCGTGCCATTGCCAGGCTGTAAGTTAAAAGAAGTTTCACCTCTTTTTCAAAAAAGATATGATGAATTAGATCAGCTTCAACTTCACCCATTAACATAAACAGTTTTACATCATCATGAACTTTATCATCGTGATACAAAACATTCATGCTTATGTGAGTCATTTATATACAGCGTTGGAGAAAATAAGGGAAACGCGTAACATTTGGAAATCGTAATTTTTGAACATGTTAGAAAAAAAAAACGTGACATATATATGAGCTTTATTGCTTATTGTTGCTGTTAATTGATATTTTATCATTGCACAGATATTTTTAGTACACATTTGCTTCTATAACCTAGCCCATAATCCATAAATAGCAAAGCTCTCCGATTTTCAAATGAGGCCAAATTGCTGGTGCCCGTATGGCAGGTGCTAGTGTGACAGAAACTTCCCGAATGCTTGACGTTTCTAGCGGTACTGTCTCAAAAGTAATGACTGCTTTTGAAATAGAAGGAAGAACGACCTTATTAAAGCACAGGTCTGGCCGAAAGTCGAAGTTGTCTGTGAGTGATCGTCGGTACCTAAATCAAATAATGAGGGACAATCGAGGGACAATTTTTGTCTCAAATAATGAGGGACAGTAGACCTCAATATAGAAACCTGCAAAACCCAGTTTCCATAAAGACTGACGGCCGAGAGCTGCACAAATGTGGACCATGGATGATCTGCAATTAGAAAACCTCAGGTTTCAAATACAAATGCTTCAAAGCGTTTAGAGTGGTGTAAAATCCTTTAGAATTGGTCCCCCGAGCAGTGGAATAATTTTGTTGACGAATCATCGTTTACCTTATTTCCAACCTCTGACCGAGTTTACTTTTGGTGACAGCCATAAGAGTCATTTAATCCCGACTACCTCCTCCCAACTGTAAAATATGGCGGGGGATCTGTGATGACCCTTGGTTCTATTTCTTGGAAATCCGGCGGACCAATGATTTCTCTTCATGGAAGAATCAACAGCCCTGACTATTTAGGAATTTTAGAGGATCAAGTTATCCATTGGATCAAACGCTGTGTTTTCGGAGTGGAACGCCATCATTCAAGATGATAGTGCCCCGATCCATACAGCCTAGCATTGTTAAAAAAATGGCACAAGGAACATTCTGTTGAAGTTGAGCATCTCGTTTGGTCATTACCATCACCAGACCTGAATATTATCGAAAAATTATGGCCGATTTTAGAGATGCAAGTCAGAAGTCGATTCCAGCCGCCATTGTCTTTCAAAGACCTGGAGGGAGTTTTAACTGAAGAATATGTTAAAATTTTTTTGGATACAATTCGCAATTTGTGTGAATCAATACCTCGGAGAATTGAGGCTGTAGTTGCCACAAAAGTTTAACGTATACCAGACTAAAATATAGATTGCAGATTCCTCGGGGTTCCCCCTATTTTGTGTAACCCCTGAATAGATATATTTCCCATCACGGCAGTTATACGGCGAAGGAAATATGCTATCCCAAAACTGGTCAAAACCTGAAAACGCTCTTTTAACCCCTTGTGGTTTACTTCATACCCCGCAGATTCAATGAAGCCAATCTGTGTATGGACAACTTGAACACAAAGTCGGCATCATGCCCGAGTCAAGCCGAACTTAATGGCGAAGGGGGCACCACTCGTGCCCAGTACATGTTGTCGCTGCAGGCGTGGCTCAGAGAGAAGACCTACGGCGACCCCAGGAACTGGGACCGCGACACCTTCCAAATGCTCAACTTCAGCAGCTTGCCCGACTTCGTCTTCATGCGACTCCAGCCTGATGTCCTCCTATCCCGGAAAACTGAGATCCTTGCGGTGAGGCATGAATAGGACTCGTGACACTGCTTGGACACTGATGAAACCAAAAACATATGTTCGTTACAAAAATATAGTTATTTTTGCTACTTAATTTTAACCATGCCACGCGTATGAAATAATGCTGATAAATGTTATAACTTGATATTTTACTGAATTGAAATTTTGATGTGAATGTTTGGAGATATTGGTATTTTATGAAGATAGGCTCATGAGTTGATAAAGGCCGCTTGCAGGATGTTTTTTCGATAAGCAAGATAAAGTGGCATGATTGATTAAATATCACAATGGATTAAAAACGAATTGGACACACAGTACACACATGTCGACATAAACGGTCAAATGTAACTGCGAGTGCACTGCCTGTGCCGATCCCGTCCACTTGGCAGGTGCTTAGCATCAAATTGGCGCTGCTTCGTGGCTGGCGATATCGTCTCTGCGGACATTTTCGCTCTATCGCGGCTCTCCACGTCGGCCCCATATCCGACGACGACCATGAATATGCCGAAATATGGTCGTCGAATATTCGACGACCAGCGGATATATATATCCGCTGGTGCATGAAGATGCACATGCACCAGCAATAGATATGCACATGTTCTCAAGCGCACGCACATGTGAATTAGTTTGAACTTCCTCACCATCGGTAATTTCACCACACCATCGAGCGGTTGTCGTACATCGAAATGGCTTCGTTGTAGTACATGGAAATGGCTTTGCTTGAGACCAGAAATTTGGTCCTTTCATTGTCACAGTTTTTGAAAATGGTTTAGAGTTTTTCAATCTCAGCGCTATAGCAGCGCCGTATTGCAGCCTAGCTAGGCTGTTGGAGTTTTTCTTTATTTCAGCCATGGTGCAATTCTGTTTTAGATATAGAAGGCCTCGGTAACCAAATTCGACTGCGACGGCAGGCCTGGCCTGTGTCGAGAAACACTGCGCCAATTTGCGCTGCTGTGGACATGCCTGCGCTGTTGACCCCCCTGTCGTTGCGCTGGGGCGAGCATTATGCTAAACATGTTCACCCGCGGCTGGCTCCCAGACGGATGCGATTCCTGATTGGGTAATATTTTTAGGCTAAATCGCGGCAGGATCGGCCAAGACCAGCGTCGGTTTCGTCGCACAATTTAAGGGGAGCGTCTACCCTAAAATTGAAAATTTTTACTTTTTCGGTTTTTGTACTAATTTTAAAGCTGACATTCTGGCCTATCCAATAGTACCACTACCATATCTATACGTCGATTTTCACGTACACGACACTTCATGAAAGGGGGGCGGGGGGGGAGTTATTTCAGTAATTAGATACGAGATAATTCGCTGTCCACCACTACAAATATAGTGTTTTTGTGAGGTCTGACTCAGTGTGCCTCCGGGCTTTGTAGGGAGAGATGCGCATGTAGTTGCTCCCATCATCCTTGAGTGGAATCAAGCTCCAGAAACGTTTAGTTTGGAATCTATGCTACATTGAGCGCATATATTGTGGTGCGCGCGGGACTTTGTCGCGCTCTCCTCAACATTCACACTTATTGTCACGGAAAACCTATCTCCTCCTAGAGTTTTGAAGCTACAACAATGAGACATGTACCATTCAATTTGCAAATAAACTATCTACAAAATGTTTATCCCGGTTTTTCTAGTTTCATTATAGTTCGAATTTTATTCTGCAAAAAGAGGGGGGTGGCGGGGGGAAAATCGAAAAATTTCCGAACATTCTGGAAAAATTCCCCCCACTTCAGATGATGCGCGGAGGACTCAAGACGCGGGCGCTGGGCCGCTACGTCGTCGAGAAGATCTTCGAGGCCGAGAACGTGACGCGGAGAGCCAACGTCCTACAGTCGCCTGTCTCACAGCAGGAAATTGAAAGAGTGCGTCATTATTGTGTCATCCATATGTGTGTCGCTAATTAATTTTATTATTCTAATTTTAAATAAATACTTGAAACACACTATAGTTATCTCTCTGATATACGGGTATTTTCAAACTGGGGCGTAATTGGACATTATTTGTGGATCGTTCTTTATTTCTTGACAACTGTTACTGTACTTCGTCAGCATCTCGTTGCGAAAATACTACTATATTTCATTTATTTAACTCGCTGCCTGTTCATTGAATATTTAATAACTGGTTTTTGCAATCGTCAGATCAAGGCCGTGATCAGCCCGGTACGCACTGCAGGTCTCATGCAGTTCGTGTACGCCACCGACCTGCCCAATGAGGTGCTAGACGCAGATAGCAAACGCATCCGCAACGAGACCGACAACTTCACCACCGCTGCACTGCAGGACGGCTCAATCGATGCATTGGTAAGTACTGAACTGAGATTCAAGAATCTCTAGAGCTTATTATACGTGGATTATTATTACCTCAGCATGTTTTTCCCTTAGTCTGTGTTACAGACAGAAAATTATTTAAGCAATGTATTCATTAGGAGGCGCCGGTGGTAGACTAAATTAGTACATGGGCTATTTTTTCTCCGAAGCCCTGAAGACCACGGCTTCCTTGAGTGCCAAATCATGTAGTGCAATGCACAACCCATTCAAAGCAAACAATCGAATCGAAATAAATAATAAATAGTTAGCATTGGCATACATAGATATGTAATGTAACTAATAAATAAAAACAGTATTTTGAAAGTTTGTTCATTTCAATTTACGATTTAGTTCTATCTCAATTAGTGACGAGAATTTTACACCAATGGTAATTGCAACAGGATTGTTGGGAATCTCAGAACACCCAACTAGCCAACATGATCGTATAGGTTCGGGATACTGATGAATAGTTATTAAAACACTTTATTAACACACTTTTAAATAAACACATTTAAATAATCAATAAATTATAATATCGGCACATTAACACTTCACTTCATCTTGGATGCTTGGCTTTCGAGACTAACTCTTGACTTGAGTCAACTGTAGATTCGAGGCTTTCCTAAGAGAAACAAATGAAATAGGCAAATAATAGTATAAGCTAAACATTAACATATACGTAAATATATTATTTACAAAATTTGTCCACTACATCGAATCTATTCACATATATATTTGCATATTAACATCCTAACGCAGCACATACCTCCACTCCGGCTTTCCTCGACAAAATGATTCCATCACTTCATCCTTCCGCACTTGGCCTTCAGTACACTCTAAAATAAAATAACAATTTAAAATTCCGAACCATTTATTCCGGACTATTCCCTTATTACTTTCAAGTGTGAGAGGCTATAGTTTTATGTTCATTTTTTGATGTAATACGGAAATTTGTTGTTATGCCAGGTACTGGAAAACAGCATGAAGAGCTTGCTAAAGTCCAAGCAGAACTTCACCGTCGATCAAATCCGTTCCCTGGGTGAGTTATTGCGGTGATTAGGTTTACTGAAATTTAGTTTTGTCTTGCTTTCTAGTGATTGTAGGTTACAAGACCTAGGAAAATACTCATTGCTCAATCAAGTTACTATTTAACTCTCAAGCTGGTGATTAACTTTGCCCTAATCCTGGTGGAAATTTTCGACGCTACTTAGTATAAGAGGATGCAATTCGTAAAAGTGCTGAATTATTTAGACGAAATATAACGGGAAATACTTGTCATGATGCAGGTTAGTACTTAAATCGCGCAAAATGCAACGATCAGCTTGAGGGATAATTGTAATTTGGCCCGAGGATAATTGAGGCTTGCGTCTCAAAGCCGTTGAGACTCAACGTAGAACATGTGTACGTAATTACCTTGCGGTCTATCTGTGAGCACTTGTAACGCCATCTAGTTGACTGTTATTTATGAGCAACTTATGTAATAGATAACAGTCAATAAAATTATAAAATGGGCGTCAATGCTACTCTTCTATTACATCACTTAATGTGATGCAAATTATTACCTAACCACTTAAGTAACTAAATCACCAAATCAACCCAAAATACTTTCGTGTACTCATCGCAACCTGCCTGTATTGAACACTCTCCGAATTATAACAGCCAAGCGCTGTTGACCATGAATAATAAAACTATCTATGTCCCTTCAGGTTTAAAAATTTCTACAATAAATTCCTAACTTGCCTAACAGGGATGAACCGACTGGCACTGGCGTCGGGCCTGATGCTCAACAGCACGCTCAAAAACTACGCCATCTTCGCCGAAGACCTCAAGAATCTCGTGACGACCATACGATACACGGCCGGCAGCGCCGCCAGGGGAAAAGTGGGTGCAGATGTTTGCAATTGTTGTAATTGATAACCTAAAATTGATGTAATTACTTGATGACGATAAACTTGTGGAAGGCTTTCTGTTATGTTAAGGTATGAGTATCATATGGGATTCTCATGAAGGAGGGATGTGATTTTTAAGTGATGCGACGGTCATGCGATGTCCTGTTTTCAATTATTTTTTCTTTCAATGAAAGTAAAAGGTGATTTGAAAAGAAAGAAATCTCTTGCAAAAAATGAAGGTAAAAGGTGATTAAACTGTGATGGAAATCAACGTCAAGGTCATGGCAATTTTGATTTCATGAAGGTAAGTTGTGTGTGGGAATTGTTATGAATTATTGTTAGTGTATTATTAACAGAGCTGGGCAGCGCTACTTTCAAATGTAGCTGCGCTACCGCTACCGCTACATGCTCTAAATGTAGCGGGCGCTACCGCTACCGCTACATCCACTAGATTGTAGCAAGCGCTACCGCTACCGCTACAATGGCCAAAATTATAGGAAATCTCTAAATATTTATTGTTCTGCTATTGGGATTTACTCATAAACATTTAATGCTAATAAAACATTTTCAAAACATATCAATGCAACTTTATTGCAATTAACCTAACCGAACTAGTACGGGTTAGATACAGTAAATAAAAATTACAGTTAGTTTTATGTTTTATCTTCCCTAAAAATCAGTATTTTATTTGTATATATATGTGGATTATTTTTGAGATTGGTAGATTAAAGTAAACATCCATGTAGGAAAGGTGAAACATCAAAATAACTGTATAAAAATAACTGTAAGCAAACTGAAACATGAAAAAATGCCTGTAAGGGGTAACTGGTAACAACTAACATGTTGACACTAGTAACAGGCTGAGGTTAACAACATTACACCGAAATCTTTCGTAAAGTTTTATTCTGTAATTTATATTATGTATGTATCATGCATTTAATACTATTAAGTAAAATCTAAAGGCTTTATCTATAAATGTAGCGGTAGCGCTGTAGCGGCAAAACCTCGTATCGCTACTTAAATATATAGCGGGCACTACCGCTACCGCTACAATTGCTTAAATATAGCGCCGCTACCGCTACCGCTACTGAAAATATAGCGGCCGCTACATGTAGCGCGCCACTGCCCACCTCTGATTATTAAGTAATTCTAGTTCCACCATGGAGGTAACCAAATATTTCTTGTATGTGATGGAAATGCAACGATATTTTGCTATAATATGATAGCCAAGAAATTGAAATTCATTGTTTTTGTATTATTTGTAATTTAACATTATACATTATTGATTGAAATTTAACACCAATGTGGTAAAAACTCGCAGCTGATGATGATCAAGAACAAAGTGTTCGAAGTTGGCTCTAGTGGAGGAGGAACATCGCTGGATCTGAACATCATCCCTGACGAACTCTTGAACGTGGCGCCCATGCGGTACCTCGACGAGGCGTCCATGTCACTAACCAACAGAATGTCCGCGCTTGGCAGAAACGCCACCTTTAACGCGGCCCAGATGTCTACCCTTATTTCTGGGGTGAGTACGATTGGGCTGCGGGCAGCAATGCGTCTCGACTCCAGGTTTTCCTGTCATGATATTAGGAAAACAAATTACATTGACGTCGAACATGTTTGACAAAATCTGAAATCTCAGAAGATTTTTAAAAATGAGAATACAGGTGGATCTAATTGTAGTTGTTGGCCACATGTCGACGTGCAAAAGCGCTTGTTAGTTTTTGCGATCCAGTGTTGCTCCAATACAGGGTAGGGAACATACAAAGGAATTGCAAAATAAAGGCAAGAAGGATTGATCCAAATTTCAATTAGGTTGATGAAAGTATTTGGCTTACTAATACCAACATCGACGTAGAAAAATTCATGACAAAAAAAATTGACCCTATAAGTTAACAAGGCCTCTAGAAGCGCCATCAACAGATGAAAGCAAATCGTTGACATAGAGTCTTTAAACAAAGTTTTCATATTATATAACTTGAAAAACTTTCAGATTGGATCAGACCGACTGAAGTTCATCTCCAGCAAGGCTAAAGAAGCCATTCCTACCAATGTTTACAAGGACCTTAGTAAGGACGCCCTGAAAGATGGGACGATCGGAATGCCACCCTCATCCAAGCTGGTCAGTTTTACTTCTTATTAACAAGCTGACACATTCGGTGTTTTGAAACTGAGTTACACTCGTGTTTCAATGCTTCAGTTTTCGCACTTCAAATTATAGTAATTTGAGGTCAGTTAAAATGGATAGCCCATATCTTAGTAATTTCTTGCCACCACTCATCTATAAATTTATAGCGCAGCGAGTGCATACGTGAGCCACATGAATTATAAATTTACTTCGAAATTTTCCAGGGTCTAATGTTATCTGACAAAGCATTCAAGACGGGCACGACTATAAACGTCGACGACTTTGCGGTGATGTTCATGCAGGCGGTGGACGCCAGGAACATCCCGACCTCCAACATCGTCCAGCAGTTCGAAAACATGAAGGACGGCTTCCCCACACGTCAGGCGGTAAGTGTGGTATTGTGTCACACCAGTGGTCTAGTCCCATTATAGCTAGACGCACATCAGCACTGACGTAACACCTTAACTGTAAAACACACCAACTTTAGGGATGACCCACAACACAAGCTGTATATGGAACATGCAAAGTATAATAAAATGGAATAAAGAAAACATAAAAAATACACATGATTAAGATTCGATACCCGAGCTTTAAATGTGAAAATAAACCATAGAAAAACAGAAGAGTTTCAGCAAGCGTTCAACACAAGCAGAATAAGCACAATAACCATCTGGCTACCTGAACGTAAGCAAAACTGCTCTCTTCCAGTGCTACGTGCTCAAGGACCTTTACGTGAACTACACCGCGACGGAGATGATGACGCAGAGTGAAGACGAGGCCTTCCAGCTCCTCACGCCCTCCGCCATCGAGCGCATGCCCATCTGCGTCGTCGCTGCCTTTGGGTAAAACTTTTTGTATTATTCGCCTATTTCGAAAATAACGATCTTTAAAAATTATTTAAACTCGTGATGACATTTCTTGGACATAAATGTATCCTAATAACAAATCTTCCGCATAAAATTGCTAAATCAAATTTCGTGCTACCTAAATATACTGTTGGGGCTGGCCGTTGTTATGTGAGGCAGTGTTTTAGGTGATGGATCTCCTCAACTTTCCCCCCTGTGTAACCAAAGACATCCATTCAGGTGTCTTAATGCTCTATCAGCCGCCCAATGGGCGGCTGATAAATGCAGGCCCATAATGCAGTATTAAACCGTAACATACATTTTTCCCACATGCAAACCTTGCCGTTAACCTTTAGCTTACATCCAAACTTCCATTGCCCATACTAATAATAAAATAAAAAGTGGAGTCATCGTTGGATGGGCCACATCTGGCCTGTCGCCGATTCAAGACATCACAGAGTTCTTACAGATAATTAACTTACTAGGGTTTTGCAGCTGCAACCACCCGGCCACGTCTCGCCGATTTTGACTAAAACTCTCGTACAGAGCCAAAATCGAACCTGCAAATCACTGCTCCAATCTTGGTACAATTAATTGTAACCATTGGACCATGCATCTCTTTCCAAATAGTTTAATTGCAAATATCCTAATTCGCTCCCACGAATGCCTTTATAAAGTTTCTCTCGGGAGTCAGGATGATACTCAAGGTTGGTCAATTAAGTGTAAAGAGTGAACTATCTTACTGATGAGTTCGAAATTCCACGAGAGTTCATTAAAATCCTCTTAGATGTCAGACTTCAGACAACAGACTTTGAAAACAAAATGATTCATATGCACGGACACTGACCGGGCCGTCATTCGATAAAGGCAAGCAGTCCTACACAGTCAATCTTACATTAAAAATGTGGGCGTTTAACCCTGCCTTATAGAAAAAATATATTATATGTACTACTAATGTCTGGAAATAATTTTCGAGTAACGCTAGCAAAAAATAAATAAACCCCTAGCTCCTGCGCAAAAATATTGCTAAGTCAAGCAAAGAAGTCTACGTGTTTATTCAGGTCCGACTGAAGATCGTATGGGCTTTAGGCACCTATAATATAATACTACTATACTAGTGCTACTGCCTGCAGTAGTAGTAAATACTGAAAATGGTTTGGATGATATTTCTCTACGCAATTATGTAAGAAAGCATATTAGCTTCTTCAGACCAACAATATATTACAGGCCGAAACACCTCCTCACATCATAGTTACGTCGAATAATTATTATCTGCCACTTCGAAGTCGAGTAGTCGGATTTATAGATACCCACAGTACTCAGGACCGCGCGGCCAAGTGGAAGCCTTCCGATAACAACATTAAGGAAACATTTTTTTGCTGCAATTTAACGCCGCGCAGTTCAGATGAAACAGAAATCTCCCTAAGCCATCTCTGCGAGTGGGTATATTTTAATTAACGCAACAATCATGATTTTACACTGTGGGTGGAATGAGGTCGTAAAATGGGGCCTTAATTTTCTCATTAGGCTGATTCCCATAAGGCAAAAGATCGAAATTTTGAGCTTATTCCATGCCCCTCGTAATGAGTTGTTGGCACCCGTGCATGGTTGCTGGTTTGGCGCTGGAATGGCGATTATCGGTTGGCTTTAAACCGCGTATGCTTGAACTTGGGCCCCCATCAACCCACTCTAAACCTCCGACACAACTGGAACATTCTTCATGGTTGCTTTAATTTATCCATGACCTAATGCGAGTTGCATTTACCTGTCTAAATGACATAAAATTTCAATACCTACTGACAACAACTCAACGAAAATAATTGGATGGAATTTTCCTTTCACATTACTGTTTTAAAAGCGACAAACAACAATTCAACTAAGATAGTTAGATTGAAATTTATTTTTCCATTATATTGTAATAAAAATTATATGTCTCAGCCCGGACCGACTTCGTAGCTTAGACGACGTCAGCAAGACAATCCTGCTGGACCGCGTCGTCATGAACAGGAGGGCGGCGCTCATTTTCCCTTCAGTCAGCCGCGCTGCCCTGCTAACCATCGTGGACGAGGGCCTCAAAGCTAAGGTAAAATTGAAAGAATGCTGCACCAGCTGGCGCGCAATCGTGGAGCTCAATTTCCTACATTGTAGGTTGCAAAGCGCTGTGCAAAAAAAAATTTAAAAAATGGTTGATGTCCATTTGATGAGAGTTCCTCTCCGGGTCCAAAATCAAACGTTTCAGCAATGCCTTATCGCTAAAAAACGATGTATTTAATCAATTATTTTCTTTTCAGTTTTTATACATAAAAAGATAGTCTACCGTACATGCCAGTATATGTTGAAGCCGCGGTTTGCCAGTAGGCTTAATATTTCTGAATTCTTTGAGAATCTATGAGTTGATTAATCAAAGGTTTTGACTTACTCGTGTCTTATCTAAAAAATATGTCATGTTAGCTCTGTACTGCATAGAATCCAGAATCTGAAGTTGCGGCGTTGATGATCTATCATGAAGTATGGAAGTTAGTAACCACCACAGGGCCGGCCGAGCGTGGTGACGGGTGCGGACGTGAACACGTACGGGGAAATTCTGCTCTTCTTCCCCACGGACCTGATGAACAACGTGACGGCTGAGGGGGCACCTCTCGCCCTCGGCATCTTTAATGTGAGGGAGACATATAATATTATTTGAAAATATACTTTTTTGAAGTAGTTAATTCCGCAGTAATAAATTAGAATATTTGAAACATGGCTGCATTATGTTGTGCGTGAATTTTGGGTGAATCCCATTAGATGTCGTCTATATGCACATCGACTTTTAGCGTTTCGCGATGCTAAACTAGTAGTAAAGTACTCAAGTTCTGTTTTTTTTACTTCTTGTCTGGCATTTCGCCAATTAACGCCTATATTTTTCCCAATTTCTTCATCCGTTTGATCTTTTCTTACAAATGGTTTTCCGTTTCAATGAATATATGATTCGTGATTATACTGAAACCATTTCTATCTAACTGTACAACGGACATTTTACATCTCATTCACAGATCAGCAATACACAATGACTGTTCAAACGATTCTACCTTTACGACAAACAACAATCAAATTTTTTGTGAATCCATAAAATATAAAAAATAGAAAATAGAAAAATGTAAAATAAATAAAATATCATCTACATTTCTCTGCATTCGCTTACTCCATAAAAATAAACGAGTCTTGATAAATAATAATATATAAATATTTTTATCTTAATATTATGTATTATATTGTATATTATTATCTTAGTAATAATGAATAAATTTTCTGGAGTTCCAGATTACGAGGCTTATGATAAATATTGGTTTAACCTCTTAACTTGCTGTTTCATAGCAAATTGTTTTTTATTGATGGAAACGATGAATGCTTCCGCTGACAAAATTACAAACGGCTTGATGAGATTGAACCCATATTTCCTAATTATTAACGAGAAGACTATGTCTTGAGTAATCCTTCTCGATGCGCTCTTCCAGTCGCTGGCGGCAAGCGTCCTGATGCCGTGTCTGGACGCAGGACGGAGATCTGCCATAGCTAACCTCATCACCAAGTACAAAGGGTACGTCTCTTTCAGATGGTAGCTCCATTAGTTTTGGATGAATTAAGAATTAAGAACTACATGGCAACTTGATTTTGTTTGTCATGGCGTCTCATTTGAATCGATATCAATTTAGTTTGAGAAATATTTAATTATACTTTAGTTTAATTGAATTTAGTTTAATTTAGTCTAGTTTAATTTAGTTCAGTGTAATTTAGTTTAGTTTAATTTAATTTGAGATATATTTCATTAGAATGTGAAAGGATGGTTTCATTTCTGGTAATTAATTAAGTTATAAAGTTATCAGTCTGCCCGCGTTGTGCCACTTATGTGTTTACAATACTCGGTGCATCGAGATGTTTTCCCGACATTCGTAAATCAATGTGTCCAGATATTGGAATTTAATTCGGTCTAAAGTGCCGGAAGTGCATGTGTTGATAACGAGAATCGGGATCAATTTTTTTTTAATCCAGTACAAAATACGTCTTCCAAAAGTCATACTGAATCATTAAAAAGCGTCATTAGGCTCATGCGTAACTATTTATCCCGATCACCGATGAATTCATCGTTTTGTAGACTATTAGTGTCAGTACAAAGATACAAGAAAACTTCAACTACTGAACTGGTTTGCCGAATAAATAAAGGTTACCAAAATTATTGTTAACATAGAAATTAGAAACAAATATATTTATACGTGTGGTAACTTGCTTTAATTATATGATAAAAAACAACATTCAACATAATTTCATATTCCCACACAGCGATGACCCGACGACATGGCGGCAAATGTCGGGGCTGTGTTGCCTGCTGTACACGCTGCCGTCGGGGACGCTGAGCCGCATCCCCCGCGGGGCCCTCATGTCCTGTCGCTGCCACATCGCCGACCGCGCCCAGTACGCCTCAGAGGACGAGGCCCGACAGGTCTCTAATTCAATTGAAGATAAATTCTTTCATGTCGTAGTTTCTAAGTATATACAACCCCAATACATTTACTGTCACAGCTAAGCCTGCAAGTATAGTCAGGGCCTCATATTAGCTCGTATTTTGACGCTAAACTAGTCAAGGGATGTTTTTTAACATCCAATTCAATTCATTTAAATTAATTTCAAGTAGTTTGTAAAATGTATTAAAAAATTTAAAAATAATATTGTTGATTTCGTTCAACAATTATATTCAACTGCGAATTATTCAATTATTGAGAATTTACTGGTCAGTGGTCATTCTTTTAGCTTCTATTTCGATGGTCATTTGCCAAAATAGCCCATTCCACTCCCAATACCCATGCAACAAATGCTGAGCTTAGGTCAAAGTGATGAACAATCTCTCACCACCTTTCACTTTCCGCCTGCCCGGCTCGCATAAATATTTGATGACTCTTTATTGCTCATTTCATGAAGCAATTCACTTGTTTGAACATCCAATAGAGAGTTTGCGATGTCAAACGAAATAATGATATACAGGGGTCGCACAAAATAACGGAAACACCTGACATTTTGCTGACGTAATTTTTGAAAATGTTATGAACAATGTCACGTGACATATTTTATTGTTTATTGCTGCTGCTAATTGATATTTTATTCTTGAACAGATTTTTATAAATTTTTGTGTCTATAACCTAACCTATAACGCATCAATAGCAAACCTCTCTGACTTTCAAGGAGGCCAAATTGTTGTTGCCCGTATGGCAAGTGCTAGTGTGACAGAAACTTCCCGAATGCTTGACATTTCTAGAGGTACTGTCTCAAAAAAGTATTGATTGCTTTTGAAAGACAATGAAAATAATTTTCAGTATAGCATAGGTCTGGCTGATAGTCGAAGTGTTATGAGAGAGACCGTCGACACCTAAATCAAATTGTGAGAAGCAATCCCAGTTAAAATTTAGGGCAGGGAATAGAGCAGGCCGTCGCCGGCTGCAGAGCCGGCGTAGAGACGCGACAGAGCAGCGATAGAGCAGAAATGTCCGCTTTAGAGACGATATCGCCAGCCGCGTATCAGCGCTAATTAGCTTCTGAAAGCGCGACCAGCCCGGCTAAACCCGGCGCCGGTCTCGGCTCAAAATTTTAACTGGGATCGAGAGACCGCGGCTGTTAAAATTACAGTAAACCTCAATGGACACCAACTGAACTTAGTTTCCATAAAGAATGTCCGTTGAGAGCTGCACAGATCTGGATTATATGGAAAAGCTGCAATTTGAAAACCTTTAATTTCATATACAAATGCTTCAAAGCGTTTTGAGTGGTGTAAAAACCTCCAGAATTGGTCCCTCGAGCAGTGTAAAAACGTAGTAAATTTCTCTGATGAATCATCGTTCACCTAATTTCCAACCTTTTGCAGAATTTACGTTTGTACGTAGACAATCAAAAGAGTCATTTAATCCCGACTACCCGAATTTTTTATTGTATCTGTGTTCTAGATTTATCGAACTGACGATGGAGCTAGACTCCGAAACGTTTTCAATAGAGAAATGCTGAATTTTTCTGGAGTTTTCTTCGCTTTTAAATTTCTAATTATATCTCCTACTGTCCTTTCCATTCATCCTTTCACTATATGTGCCACCTCTTGTTCTCTTCATTCTTTCATAGTGGCACCAAACCACATCATTACGCGATGCCAGAGACAGAGCTTTAATAGAAAGACTATTTTCGCACCAGTTAATCCAACCGAGGAGAATTATAGTCAATAGGAGAATTATAGCCAATTTTATTCGTGCTATAACATACCATTCTCAACAGGTCTAGAAATAATGAATTTTAAGTACCTAATTCCGTAATTGAAATCAATTTTGCAGGCTGAGAGAGTTATCTGTGCCCTGTTTTCGATCACCCCAAGGGGGTAACCACGAGTAACTCAACCAGTTAGATCATTGACTTTTCTATGATCTTCTTGACCTCATACAGTTCCCCGGTGTAGATGAAACTACTCATAATTGATTAATAAGTAGATATGAAGTTGTTGTGGTCACTGATACATAAAGTCGGCCTTTATGAACGAATAGGGTAGTTTGGCCACTGATAGTCTTCATTTAATTTCACTTTATTGCAAAAATTCATCTACTATAATAAAAAAATCCACGTGTTGGACAAACTGATATTTCACAGAACTAGAAGTCTAAGTCTCGAGTCTCAAGTCTTTTAGATTTGAGGCTTTCCTATGTGAACAAAATAAACAATAATTGGACTTCTGACTAGTAAACTAAACCAATGTGTATACAAATCAAATGACGCAAAACAAATCAATTATATACAATGATTCACATAAATTCGTGTATCCTAATTTGATAATAAACGTCAGGACCTAGCTCACTCACTATTTACCTACGCTCGGGTTTTTCACCGCACAATAAGCTATCAACATACACTCCGCATTGGGACTTCCGTGAATTCTAAATTATAATGACAATGAATAAATATAAAGTAACGAATGACCAAAAAGTAAAATGACATGCAATATGATAAAATTTACTCGGGCTTCTCCCTAAACAGTTTCATAATGAACTATCATCCTGATTATATTAATGTCAAATGTTATTTAGTTACTCCGCAAATGCGTTTTAGAATGACTGCCGAACCAACCTCGGGGGAGACTACGACGCCGAGCTCTGGCAGCGCGACAACGTGCGACGTGTGCAGGCCTGGGCGGCGCTGGACATCCTCGACCCTTACACCATCCCCGGCTACAACCCCAGCGGGAGGAGGAAGAGGGGTGAGGAGGGTATACAGCATGATCATGTTTATAATATCAACATTTTCGGTGGGTTGGTTTGTGTTAACATTGTATTTTTGTGAAACTAGGCTGTCCACAAGAGGAATATGTAGAAGCGTATTATGGATAAAATGTATTCTGTGCACGTTGCCATGATGAATGAATTCAGAATGCATTTAGATGAATAAATTTCTTGCGGAAAAATGTATTTTTAAGTAATGTGTGCATCCTAGTACGTAACTACGAAAACACCATACGTGATCATCAAACGTAAAATTGAATCAGCACTCGATGCTTAGCCTTACGGGATGTCCATGCATTGCTTGACGCTCAAGTTCAATGTTTTCTGGGATATGACATCGTAATCGCGTGTTTCAGAAATAAAAACGGTTAATTGTCATTGAGATGTAGACAGCAGTGTAAATAAGAGATGTAGACAGCATTAAGTAAAAACGGTTAAATGTCATTGAGATGTAGACAGCAGTGTAAGTGACAAGCGTATGTGTACTCACCATGTGTCTAACTGTTCTGGTTGACAAGCTCGGTTGTTATATTCGTGCAGCTTTGAGCGACGTCGCGGTCTGCGATCGCGCGTCGGTGAGCGGCGTAGACGACATCACAGAAAGCGAACTGAGCGCCGCGTCCACCAGCGACATCATGCAGTGCCTGGGGGCGCTGGGGGCCCGCTACATGGACGACACCAAAGCTCAGGTCACTAGGATGTAGTTACATTACGTAGGGATTGCCTGGAAAGAAAAAGGCTTTATTTACTCGTATCACTTAAATGACACACGTAAAGCATAGTGCCCTACTACCGAGGTGCTAACAATGTTCTTTCCCCACAATAATGACGGTAACGCATGCGAAAATTGTTAAGAACACCAAGATTGAAACAGCGAGTTGCATGCTAGCAACCCGAGCAAGGGATCTCATCCCACTGTTTTTTTCGCTGTACGTTGTGTACAGCGTTGTTCTCTATCCCCCTGACCTCATCCGTGCACCACTAACCACCCACTTCAACACACCCTCTCGGCCAGTGAACTGCGCCTTGGTGTCAGTTTACACGACGCGTCCCGGTGCACTTACCCACAACATCCACACTCGCGCAGCTAGGAAGAGGCTACGACAACATTCGAAGACAAGCAATTTTAAATTTTTGCAATACTTTTTAAAAACCCTCTTGGCTCTCGAGTTGTACATTTAGGCGCAAAACAGATGGTTCAATTTCTAAATCCATGTGTGAGCATTAGTTTTTGAAGGTAGAATTTTCATGATTATACACCTTTTTAATGACCCAAGATAGCATTTCAGTTAAAATCTTTACGGAACCGAACAATTATGTAGCTGAGGTTGGTAGATCCATAGGCATTGACTTGACTTGCAAATGATGTATTTGCATTTGAAACGTCATCAATATATTAATATTTTCATCTGAAACTTCCCTATAGATATACCAACGCCATGCAAAGAATTGTTCAACTCCATGAATTTTTTTAAGAAAATACATTCTCTGGGCATATGCAATTATGTGACTCCTAATAAGCTAAAATTGCAAGCCCCAGTCACTATTGAAGCTCCTAAAAAGCCTGATTTTTGTATCCTATATCATTTGCAACCCCCACATTCAACTTCAATGACTAAATTGAGCGCCTTACTCTCTATCGCACCCAATTATTACTTCCGTTTGACCTTTCTCTTTCTTCTGCTCATTTCCACATCTTTTCATGGCACCCAAAAACAAAAGTATATATTTATGTTTTAAAAATCAATTTTTGTATTCACAGATCTTGGCCAGCAAAGTGCGAAAAACACTGAGCACGCGGTCGTGGTTTGCACTCGCGAACGACCTCATGCGTGACATGAACTTCATCATGAAAGGCATCCCGGCTAACGAAATTTCTGACCTCCCTTCGTTGTCTCCTCCGGCTTCCTTCTACGACACCGTCGTTGTCTTGGGCAACGAGAAGATGATGTTCTCCGATGATCAGGTAATTATGTGGCCTTACATATTTTGAACTAGCCCTCGCCGATTCAAGAGCCGATTCAAGAGAGAGCCGATGTTGATCTACAAAATATTTGTAACATTCGACAATCACTGAGTTAACAACCTTGAGTATTCGTAACTTCTTATAAAGATCAACAGATAATCACAAAACATTATTATGAATCACGAACATCCTCGAAAATTCGGTAAATAAAGTAATATCAATCATAAAATGTCAACCCATTGTATAAATTCTTATAATCTCCCCTGCTCAGTGATCCATACCGACGACTTACGAGGAACGACGTTATAGATGATAAGTTATGGTCCACGGGCGATGTTCTGCTACATTTATGGGCCACACTTTCGCATCTCAATCGATGAGATGCGGATATCTTCAATAAAAAATCTTTCTTACTGTGCGAAAGAAGAAACATAAACAGGGTTCGTACCGGTTATGGAAAACCTGGAAAGTCATGGAATTTGATTTTTCAGGACTGGAAAGTCATTGGATTTGACTTCAGGTTATGGAAAGTCATGGAATTTGCAAATAAAAGAAGAAAAAAGGTAGTGTTTTTCTGCGCTGCGTGTGTTAAACTGTTTGTGCAGTCTCTTAAAATTGTTTCCTGCTTTCTGATTGGATAACCAATCACGTGAGCTCGGTCACCGAGCTCAGTTGCATTGGACAACTATTTGACTCATGTTAAACCTGTCGTATACGAGTCTTGGAAAATTATATTGATGGCCATGGAGAGTCATGGAAAAGTCATGGATTTTTTTTTCTAAATACCGGTACGAACCCTGTATAAACTATGCTGTGCATTCGACGTCGTATCTACGGTGATAATTACGGTTTATATCAGAGAAACCAAAAATACGATTTGACCAGCCACCGCGTCGCTAAGATAAGGATAAGCTGTAGGTTGAGGGTTCGTAATGTATCCTTACGATAAGCTTTCCACGGAACAATAATTCATGTCAAATGAATATGGTTACTGCATCTTTGTAACGAGCATTCTACAATACATGCAGTTAGTCAAATTTCAGTCAGATAGTTGTTCGAGTTGCTTCTTTTGAGTGAAAATTGGTGATTATTTCTTTGATGCTTATTTTCTCAATTCGAGTTAACTTGATTTTTCGTACGTTTTCAAATAAATTATTTTTAACGTTCAGTCCCTATTTCCACATTTTTGTTTTACTAAACTGTTTTTCCTTATTTAGAGAGCAGTATGCGGGAAATTTTTGGAACCAGCGAATAAATTGAAATTATTCAAGGAATCATTCAATCGTTTTAACCGGGTTTAGGCATGAGCCCAGTAGATTTCATTTATTTCCGTAATTTTGATCGAGCGTCTCAAATCAACCTAGAGACATAAAAACTGCAACTATCAGCAAGATGCATAATTCTTATAACTATGGGTAATGTTTTTCAATTCAATGAAATTGGTGTTTCAATCGCATTAGAACGACATGTAGAAATTTGAAAAAACCCTTCTTTTCGTTTTTCAGCTCCGGGCGTACGCTGACAAGGTGCTCACGACATGGCGTTCGCTGGCCGACATGTCGGACAAGCAGCTCGCCATGTACAACCGCCTCCTGTGCGGCACAAACGCCTCTCTCATCAACACCCTCAGTGCTGAGCGCGTCGGGTGAGCCCGTTTCGAGTTTTTCTCAGTTACCAAAACTGATTTTCTTCCTTGCAGAAAAGTGGAAATATTACTCGAAAACGTAATTAGTTAATTTTTAGTTTGGCTAGGCGTTGGCAAAATCCTTCTTACAGATCACGAAACCAACAGACCATACATTTAACCTCATTGAAATACACAAATACTGCTTTGCCCTCCTTCTTTACTTGCGTTATTTTAATCTATTTCTTACATTATTTATAATCACGTCTATGTTCCAGGAACGCGTTGGCTTACCTCGGCGCAACACTGGATGGTTGTAGTAAAGAAGTTTTGGCACCTCTCGCTTTGAAAGCGAGCAACCCTCGCTTGCTATCTAGAGCGCAGGTAGGGCAAACATCCCGTCGAGACAACATTCAGCGCGGCGGTTATCAGTCGATGCGAAACCATAGATTGTTAGTTCACATTCATGCTATGATTCCTTGCTCACCGAAATCAAAACTCCAATTTATGCATCTAATCGTTACGTGGAAAGACAGAAAAATTGTTATTTTATGTTCACTTAATCACATATAACACCAAGTGTTGATTCTGAAATTTAGTTGGAACCATAACAATTGTGTCGATATGGATTATTTTGGCATGGGATGAGATATCACGTCATCTTATCATGTATTCGTTCGTTAAGAATTGCTGATTTTCATCTTCACGTAATGTTAATTAAAGAAATAGTGATCATGAAAATTAATAGAGATGAAAGGCTATTGTTAAAGGCTTTCTATTGTTGGTTTCCTAACCAACCCCGTTTCATTACTCAGAACAGTTTCTCTAAGATGATAATATTCACTGGCAGCACTTACTCACTTTTAGTACTAACCTGTACATGGTCAATGTATGAAAAGCCTCGCAGTTAATTACAGCAAATCAATTGAGTCATAAGGGTGAGAAAATCATGAAGCTAAATCTTAATCCTAATCACCTCGAATGCGCAGAAGAACCACCTGTTAATTAAAGAACACTTATAAAAGTACAAGAGAAATTTCCTAGGCATGTCTAAATTGGCGATTTCAATTGGTTCCCTAGTGTCCAAAAACTGCATAAAAATATCGATTAGGCCACCATGCGGCCACTGGCTTGCCGCGCTCCGATTGACTGCTTCAATCACTACTACATCATTGCTGTCCATGTTTTCATATAGCTGATATGACTGTGTTCTAGTATTTGTAGACGATTTTCATTATTTTATTTTCTTGATATGATTTACTTTCATCAATGAAAAAAGAGATTTTGTTAAAAGACAATTAACCCAACATGATGATTCCGAAAACGCAAACTAGAGGAAATCGAACAAATCCTTCAGTGAATACAAGCCTGAAACTACACTTAGTTTTGAAGCGAATTGTGCATTTTATAATGCTCAGGTTATGTAGTTTGTAATTACACTCAGTTTGGGCAATTATTGTTAGACGGGACCGTCTTGTCAGGAGCGGACCAATCGTTCCATAGCGGACATCGACGGTCTTGTACCCATACCACTCATTGCTACCACATCCTAAGAGGCAGGAATGCCGACGTGTATAGAATAGAAACCTTATCTTGCACCGTCTCAGCTAAGGTGTAAAAAGTATGATTAGGTTCACAGGTATGCGTCATAGCTAAGGTGTAGTACGCGTCTCAGGTGGGAGTATATACTTGTCTGAGCTAAGGTGGAGAAGGTATGATTAAGTTGACATGCAAAACATCGCGTATTATTTGCGGCCGTGTACATTCTCGATATCTCACGGGAATGTGATAGGTGTTATTTAAACTGATTCAAAATCGTGTGTTACGACGTCTTCCGTAACAAAAGTCCTTGTTTATTAGGTACGGGAGATGGGCGTGGTGTTTGCCGGGATTCAACCAGACAAGATCGGAGGTATCGAGCCTAGCTCCTTTGTCGGTCTCGCGCCCGCTGCCATGCGCGCCATGACCAGCGACGCCATCAGAGTACGTGGTACACGAGCAGCGTTTATTAGAGTGATTCCAGTTCACAGGTTATGTTGAACATATGGTCTGTGCTACGAATGATTGGTTGGGTGCAGGACAAGTACAGTATATCAAAGGTAGCGATACAGTGAACCTACCTACATTTATTGCATGTGCACTTGTAGTACAGAGTACGGTTGTTAATTGCTATGTAAACGCGCGTTTAATACAAGTCTTTAGAAGTACTTCGTACTACGGAGGGTAGAGAGCTTACTATAGAGTGCTTGAGCTTCACGCATAAAAGTCGTCTAGCTCGTGGTACGCGGACTAAACTACTCCAAGGAGTTAGTTTCCAGGCTCCAACACAAGCAGTTAAAAAAGGGTTACTTTTCAACTATGAATAATAACTTAAATTTATGATTGTTACTCCCGAAGGCGATGACTTCCTCGCAGCTGCGCAGTCTCTCTACCACGACAGCGATGGCCATGAGTGCAAGCGTCCGGGACAGCCTGTCGGAGAAACAAAAAGCTGCTCTCAACATGGTGCTGGGGAAGAGCGGGGCCTCCGGGCGAGGTGAGGCCATCGAGAAATTTCAGTTAGACGTTTAAATTATTATATTCAAATTATATTCCAATTGTTTTCCAATTATATTCCAATTATTTTCCAATTATTTTCCAATTATATTCCAATTTTATTACCTAAAGGGTTCCAATTATTTTTTGTTAATAATCACGCAAAATACGAGTGATAATTTCCAATTGTTTTTATAAATTGCTAAGCTGCTAAATTATCAACTCCAGAATGAGTATGCAGCAAATACCTTGAGATACAATAGGAAACTAACTGGAGCTTCATATACTTGCATCCTGGATATATGAAACGTTTATGTTAGGTTGCGGTGGATAAAATTTAGATTGATTGTGGGTTGGTTATCGGTTTAATTATAGTTTATTAAATTATTTTTGATGATCCTCTACACATTTTTATTATTATTTATGGTTTACAGAGCTGTCGAATGCGGCTGTTCTCCTGACACTGCTGATGACTATTTACCTTTCGTAAATACCATGAAATCAGCAAAAACGCCTTCAAACATTGGAACTCCTTGTTCAGTTTTGATGGAAATGTTCAGTTACATGTTCCTTCCTTTCACAAGTAATGAATTATTAATTGACAAAGATGTACATCACGAGTGGAACCTTTCCTAGGTCTAAATAAGCACTCTTCGTAGCGAGAACGAGTATTATTCGAAATTTTAGTTATAAATACATAATTATACATCCAGGACCTCGAATATATATCAATATTTCTAACAATCAATTTATTCTTACCATGCTAGTTCTCCTTGAATTATTGAAAAACATGTATAGTAACGTTATTTCAAAACTACTTTCAGATTTATTATTAAATTAAATCGTTCATATCAAGAACTCTGATATTTCACATTGTAATACTCGCATCAAAATTCAAGCTCAGATTTTTTGTAAATTTATTCCGATGCGACAAATACTCCAATTTACCTTAATTAAAACGATAGATATGGCCAGTTTTTAATGTTACGAATTTTATGCACTAAACCAGTATTTTTATATCGGATTTGGGGATATTTTGGCATGCTAATTTTTTATAAAATTATTCGCGATGAACCATCGTTTGCAGGTTGCCAAAATTTTTATAAATTATTAGAATAAGTCGGGCACCCAAACTTAATATGATTAACAAAACGCATAAAATTGCAAAAATTTATATTATTTGTCTCTTACCAATGTAAAAAGCGATATTGTTGATTCTCCCCTCCACATAACAAGTTGCATATTTTTTCAATTAATTAGATGTAAAATAAATATTTTTATCACACATTACCTCATTTCCTGTGGCTTATCTAGCATATATCGATTGTGAAACTAGAATGAAGTATTGTGAAAAATTCGTTGTTTCAATTCCCTATTCAGAGGTATGAGGTCAGAAGCTCTTCATTCATGATAGATTAAAATTTAATGCAAACCGTGAACTGTACGCTAGGATGGTAGGCGTTATACATTATGACACGGTCATTTATTTACTGGATTTAGAACTGTCCTCCGAGCCCCCATTCTCTTTCGCACAAGCTTCCAAATGACCATAAGATTGCTTCCACAGCAATTTTATTATATATTATAGCATTATATAGTATTTATGTTAACAGGATTATATATTATCAGTAAAAGATATAAGATAACGATTCGCAACGCCTTTTGCGCGGCAATATTGGGAATTTCTCTGATAAACCTACTGTATTGTTCACTCCGCCTACACTACCCTAAAAACCACACCAGAAATGATGTTATTTTCCTGCCTCGTTCTGTATTTGATTTTCGCATTTGAAAATGAAAAATTGCCATACACTTAGCCTTGATATTACAAGAATTTCTCGCCATCCACCTAGGCTTGATATTACAGGAAGCTCATGATCATTTGCACTACGTACGTAGAATGCAATAATTGGTTTTCCATAAGTCAACTTGATATGTCCATGCTACCGTAACAAAATTTAAAGGCGCTTGCGACCAAATCGGTTCAAGGGTCAATAAGTGTTCAATTCTGATGTCGAGAACGTGAAATGACATGAAGTGGCGTCAGTTGCACCTCAGCGTTCGTCGAAGGTAGTTGTATGTTAAATGCCTGTTCGGCAGCGCACATGACTTGGCTGAGTTGCGTGATTGCTCGTTCGGTTCCATAGCCAATTAGTATCGAGCGGGTTAAAAATGCAGTGTCTACCTGTGTCGCTCAAGGTGAGCTCTTTGTCTTACTATTATTAGCAGTTATTACGAGTAGTAGTAATAAACTTATACTCATACTTATTGTAAATAAACTTAGTACTAAAATCTTAGTAGTATTAGTAAAGAACTTCCCGATTGTCAACGCCATTTGATTCCGAACTTCCCAAAATTTCTTAGTACTTTAGTATCACTTCCCAGACTTTCCGAGCATTTAAGTAGCATTGTCTCAACTTTAACTTAGCACTTCCCAGAGTTTCTTGGCGCTTAAATTGCAGTAGCACTTTACAGAGTTTCTAAGTAGTATTTTCATTTACAAATTAGTGCATTTCTTTGAATTATTAGCTTTAAGACTCTCAATTATACACTTTCGCGATATTAAACTTCGTAGGAATGAATCTCAACCTTACATTGTGTTTGGTGCTATAAAATGCTGCAAATAAATGCGTGTAAATGCATTCTCATTGTGCGGTATTTCGAACAATAACAAAATTTCACATCGGCTTCAATGAACTTTATTTGTCTAATTTTCAGCAGAGTTGAAATTAAAAAAAATATCAATTTAAATATTCACTTAGAAAATATCCATTTAAATAAAAGATATCTACTGAGAAGTTGCGTGTTTTATGGATTTTTTATTATCCTAGTTCATTTTCGTAAGACGGTAATTAATTGTGCTTATTTCTGTGCAAGGCCGCAACAGTGAAACTTTTTTCTTGTCTTCATTACACGCTGAATTAAATGCAATTTTTTGATTTAGTAAAATAATTGGAGAAGTGGAATCTGAAATTGCATATAAACTATAAAGCCGTTAAATGCTAATTGTAAGTGGTTATATGAGGAAACAGAACGTGGTTATCCGTTCCATTTAGACGATGCGGTCAACGTTTTTCTGTTTCAGATCCAGATGAGAGTTTTAGGACTGTACCTTCTCATCGTGCTGGGTGAGTTCTGATAACTAACCCAATATTTGTTTGGGTGCATGGAGACAATAAACCAAATTGTAAATGAGCTTAATGAAAATCAGTGGGAGCGTACATTAAAAAATCATGATGGAATCTTTTCTTGAAAATAGACAATGTCATATCTTGAAAAGTGTATTATTTTTAATTTTCTGGAATAATAAAACATAAATGATATGTACACTAATAATATATTTAGAAATTAGTTATATTTAACTACAACCTTTAATTCAGATGCATATAGAAATGAAGGAGTTGAATAATTACACTGAAAAACATCGCTTTAGACTTTTGTCCATATAATTCATTAGAATGTGGCAGGATCTATTACAATGAGGGGGCACCGAAAATTTGTTTTGAAAATAACACATGTTCAAAATTGTGGCTAACTTATGCAGCGAGTGTCAAATAGGTTCACCTTTCTGATTCTCCAAAAAACCAAAAAGGAGCTAAATAATATTCATGTCACTTCACAATGTTCAGGTTTACATTTTCTGTGAACCAATCTTTCACCACGTTACAACGTTTGAAACATTTGATGCACACGAGTAATCGGATACTTGGCTATATAAATGCCCTAAAATTCTGATTTGTCCTGCATGGGAAATAGCAATATTATGATCAAAACTACTCTCCAATTTCTATTGTTCTATCAAAAACTGCTATTTACCCAATTATAATAAAAATTAAAAAAATTCAATGTACCATTGAAGTAATTCGTTCAGTTTTAGCAAAATTCAACATTTCTTCTCCGTGAGCGATTTACTTTGATTACCCTCACTCAGCCTGATGGTGAATATCAATTTAGAAATGATGATTCTCTCTCTACATTGTGGGGAATTTACAATGTAATTTTTCGTATTGCCCTATCGTAATTACAGTTACCGGTCCTTAACAAAAGTATTTCGATGTTTGGTCGATTGGAAAAGGTGAAAGTGGTAGCCTAAACTTTTAATTTAAAAACCCTGATAGAATTTTTTCGATGAGTATAATAATCGATCACATTCATGCGGAATTAAATTTCGATAACGACATTGGTTGACGTCACTAGCGTCACGCGTGGTTCTCGATCATTTAGAGGCGAGTGATTGATAAGATATATGATATAATTTTCGAGTTCTAGATAAATTCTTCGGGTCTTATCTATCAAAAAATGATCCAGACACCAATAAACCCAAAATGTTGACGTTAAGTAGTTAAGAATTACTCTCTCTTCACACAATTTTTTACTCCTGGCAGCAGGGGTTGGCACCACGCATGCGCAGTGGGACCTCTTGGAGAAGAACTATTTGAACGGCGATTGGGGGCAGATGTGAGTAAATAAACTTTAGCTAAAATTTTCAATGGTGTAACAAATAAGAAAGATGGAATAAAATCACTTGCATGCATTACATTCATCAGCGTGAAGTGGTTTTCTGTTTCAATAATGGAATCATGCTATAAGGTAATAAAAGAGTGTTCGAGGAACGCGCAGCAGTTCTGTAGTATTGGGCAGCGATCTGCATCACTAAGCAACAAATGCAACGCTGGTCACTGGTCAAGGGCAGCGCTTGACCCGAAGCGACGAGGTCACTCGTATCCATGATACTTGAATGTAAACTTCACGCGTTGTCTGCGCCCCGCCCAGTTCCCCTCTACCCGTTGACCTTTACTATAGCTACATGCCCCTGTTACAACAACTGAAATTAATGAACGCGACTTAGTATCTATTTTCAATCATAACGAAGATTCGGAAAATACATTGCCTGATTACTTTTTATAAATGAAAAGCTATCAGAATATACAGATTCCGTTTATTTCGCTTTTATGTACCTATATGTATATCCGATAAACATAATATCGGAAACGCAGAACTTTGTGGCATCATACTATTTACAACTTTCCTAAGCAATCAAAACTTGGCATGTCTTAATTTTGTTCTTTTATTATTATTTTTGAGAATATCTTTATGAGTAGAAGATATTATGTCACGAATATACAAATGAGTAACAGTCTTTTAAATGTAGCGTACCAGTAAGACCATACAAATGGGCATATTTTTTATAAAACAATGATAACAAAAACACTATATCAAGCGCTTATGTTAGTAAAATATAAAGATTCCGTTTTTTGATAGCAGCCAAATTTGATCGTTGTCTTGAGTCAAGGTTTTTGAATTTCCTTGGGTTTCCTTAAGAATGAAAATCTATAATAAAGCTAATGAAACAATAATTTGTGCTGAAATGTGCCTCATTAACAATGATGGTTCTTTATTCTTTATTCTTTATTCACACAGGAGCATACAAAAAAATTCATAACAAGAAAATGGCAAAAATTTGGAGAAAAAAATACAAAATGCTTCGATGCGAATGCCCATATAAGCTAAAAAGCTTCACAGGCGACATTAGCGATATTACAATCGAAAAACAATAACATATAATGACGATGGGATAAG